CCCCCCCCCCCCCCTCAGGAATGGTCTGGTCAATAATGACAATTTTTTCGATAACTCAGCCATTTCTTGACGGATCCTTCTCATCTTCGAACTCGACTGAGACATTGATGAAACTGAACTGTGTAGAAAATTTCATCACGATCTGACTCTCCTTTCGAAAGTTATCGTGTAAACGGCCGGACGGACACACTGACCGATTCTATAGTGTACTCACTTTTTGAGTACACAAAAACACGTTTAGCTATAAATTACTGCTTCATATGGGCTAGCTCATGAGTTAACATAAACTGAAGGTCTTTTGAGAATAACTAAGTGACAATATAAGATGACAAATTTCCTTTCTGTGACTGAAGTAATTGCAGTGGTATTTCACTAAAACTGTTTTTTCATATGAATTGGTTTTTTTCCAATAGTGACTGTTGGTTCGAAAATATTTTGTACATATTAATGGATATGCATAAAAACGTTTCGACAAAGAATGCTTACTGTCGAAAGAAACAGCTTGCCAAAAAGTGCAGCTGAAGTGGAATAGTACTGCAATTATTTCAGTCTCATAAGGAGAATTTTTTCATGTCACACTGTCGCACAATAATTTTCAAAGTACACTCAACTCATAATGACTTTTGAACTCACTCTTTTGAAACTGTGATAGGAAACAAAAAGATCATGAAAATATCATTTTAATGCGTTATAGTATCCGATATCGTAAAAACTCTGCTTAATTTTATATAGCTTTTCTAACCCGTTGAAATACGTAATCTTAGACAATTGGAACGCGTTTTTTTATTGATTTTGTCCAACTGGATAGGGATAAGTAGATTGCAGGACATGTAATTTCTGAAATTCTTGATGAGTAAAGTTATAACAAGAAAAAAATAAGACATGAACGAGCCCTGTTATGTAGAAAATAATTTGGAAATTTATAATGCCTAGTAACGGGCAAGCTTATCGCATCTATACAAGTTAAAATTCAAAGCTGTATTTAACAATTTTTTCGATCATCTATCTACATCAACTTCTCTAATAAGATTCATATTCGCCCCTAGAAAGTTTTATAAACCGTCCCTAAATGATAATAGATGCACGGAAAGTTTTCTCAACTCGTATGACAAATGACAGCCAAAAGAAAGATTGAGTACAATAGTGGATTTCGTGGTTTAGAAATGCATTCAGATGACAGCCAACCTTATCCAATACATCATAGCAACAAGAGTATTTCCGAAGATTTTTCTTTATCTAAAGTGTAAAGTATCTGAGATTCAGTGCCGCAGTAATTTTCAGCAGTTCTATAATCTTTAATTGAATCCAATATAGAAAGCGATTATGAACAGCGTGATGATTGATGTAGTAGGCGCCCATTGATTTTTTTCTACTATATTTTTTCATTATTATGCTTCTTTTTTCTATTTGCCTAATATACATGAGAAGAAATTCCGAAACTCGCTGCATCTTTTGTTATACTTATGTTGAATATCAAATACAGTTTTAACCGTAGTGTAGTAGGACGATGAAGAGAATTTTTTAATCAACGATGTACATGATGGTACGATATTTTTCATTTTGCATAGTTATCAGTTAGATAAATGACAACAGTGTGAAGACCCTTAATGATACTGTATGATCAAAATTCTTGTTATCTGATCTCATGGCTTTGTTGTACTCCAGATGAACAATTTATCAGGCAGTGTCATTCCAGAGTTGTAACCGGCCCGGCGAAACCGGCCCGGACCGGCCGGTCCGGTCCGGTGCCGGGCCGGGCCGGTTTGAACAGCTAGACCGGCCGGTTTTTACCGGTTTTTGCTGGTTTGAAAAAGTTGTGTTATTATTAATTCTTTAATAAGATAATATTATTTATTTCTGTTCATTACAATTTTTGAAACAAAAAGAGCAAAAGTTTTGTTTTTCGATGTAAATTCAAATTTTTCTATACATTAAATTTCCTCTTAAAAGATTTATATTATCTGCTATTTACAACATCTTAATAATCAGAACAGTGTCACATATTGATTGTTATTTTTTTTTAATGTATTTCTTTTGATATTAATTCAATTCTTGTTAACATGCCGACACATCTTTAATTAAATTAATAGAAAAGAGAGTAGGCCGTCAAGCTAATTGTACAGATAGATATACGCACGATACGATAGGTATTCGTCATATTTTTTTTTATTCAACACAGTAAAAGTACGTAACATAAACTTCTTATTTTTATAATTATTATGGATGCGGACACATAGTTTGTTAATTTAATTTGTATCATTATGATATTTTTTTTGTGTAAATTTTGTATATAATAAAAGAAGAAATTTAAATCAATTATCAGCTTTTGCAGAAAAGAACTTTATTTTGTCCAGAACATATTCAATCGTAAAAATTTGTGTTATTGTTTGCTATGAAAATGATAATATACATGAAAAGGAAAGTGTAAAAACCAATTTATGGATAAAAGGTCTATGTCTAGAACTAGTTTTACCATGTAAAGAAAATTCATACGTCTGCCGGTTTTTGCCGGTCTAGAAATATTTTTAGACCGGCCGGTCACCGGCCGGGCCGGGCCGGTCTAAGATTTAAACCGGTCAGGCCGGTCCGGTCTGAATTTTTTTGACCGGTTACAACTCTGTGTCATTCTCCATCAACTAGGAAATATATATGAAGGAAGTTTTTGATTTACGGCAGAAGTTGATTTATTCAAGTTTTATAGGGCTATAGACTGCATATCTCTGAAAAGTCTTTACATTTCATTGTTGTTTCAGGTCGACTTACATGCGAAATAAAAAAAGCATTATAACACTATATAAGTCATTTAGTGACGAAGTGTTACGCTGCCGTAATACACTGTTTCTACTTTAGGCTGCATTTACTATTGAACGTAAATATAATTTTAGAGATGCAGAATGTTCTGGGATTTATTTCTGTATATGTTCAGCTAATAAAAGAATCATAGCAATAAAGCAAAACAAAAGAGGAAATTTGTTGGTGTCCAATGACATACAGTAACTTACGTCTTCAATTCCAAACACTATATCGGCGTATGGTAGTGCACTTGCAAGGCGACTACCATAAGGGTCATCACAAATATATTTGGCTGACAGGGTCATGGCGAAAATTTTATTCTTTTTCTTCGCATGCTCGCAGACACGCATGAATGCTTCTCGATTGGAGACCAAAAAGAAACCCTAAGGATGGAAAGAGCCAATAGTGTTGATTCTGAAAGTAAGAACAAAATTATATTATTTACCTCAGAACAAAGAACTTTAGCTCGTTCAATGTGCTGCCAATTCTCTTCCGTTTCTAGAAAGTGGTGTGTAAATCCCTCTGAAGCACCTAAACTAGCGATGCGTGTTCTAAAACGCACAATAAATGTGGTTGAATATAAATAGAAACAATAGATGACTTTGTGGTTCACTTACTGAGTATCAGGCATGACCAAAATAGCACAGCGACCTGTTGACAGAGTTGGATGTTCTTGATAAACTGCATTTAGGCCGGCCTCTTCGGCAAGTTCCGTCAATCGGGTGCCGTCAAAATCATTTCCAATACATCCCATATAAGTAGCCACCCGTTTTTTCTTAAGGAACCACTGTAAAACAATACAATAAATAGTCTCCGTTACCCACATGGCTTGTATGGGGAACTAATTGACAAATCGTCTTTAGTGCAACTTTGCATCTAAAAGTCGAACTTTACCTATCTAGACTAGACGTGCAATTTTCATTGAGGCTTCCCGAAAAAGAGTTCGTATAAGAAAGTCTAAAACAATGTGTACTGTACGTACGGTGATGGTCCTCATAATATTCTGTGAAGATCCTCCGCTTGCTAGACGCGCTTTTCCATCGATCTCATCGAATCTGAAAAAGAAATGAGATACAATGATCAAGGATTAAGTTAAAAATTGAATCTTACAATTGTTTGTGTTCGGGTCCAGCCAATAATATTTGTCCCTCTTTCAAATTGTGCCTATTTAAAAAATTGCGCATATCAACAAGTTAAAAAAGTTTTGTAGAAAATGTACTTTTTCAAAAATCTCTCATCAACTTTTATACTTAAGTCCAGTAAAGGATTTCCGATTCCAAAGAAAGTTCCTTCACTACAAGTAATATAATGAATAAGTGAAAAAATTGTCAAAAACCATACGCTAAATCAGACTGCCATGTTTCGGCGCTTTCATCCAAGTTAGACTTTCTTTGAGTTGCTGTTGAAGAATACAGAGCCTGGTCCATTTTATATATCGAAATTTAATCTTGCTTGAGCTCACTAACAAAAAGACTTTTATCATCATTTCGAAAGACAAATATAGAATAGAACAAAAAAGGTCTTTTCTCCGCCCATAAAGTGAATTCTATAATTTTCATGTGATTCTGGAGTGCATTGCTTAGTAAGTACCACCTTACTTCAATTCATCGATCTTAAAAACCTATGTTTGTTGCGCAGAACTGATATTCAACTTATATAAGATCCTGAAGATCCTTCTCACATAAATTTATGAACTGCTTTAAGTGTTCATTGATGTACCTATTTTGAATGTGCGATGTGTATAAGTAATGTAAAATGATCTGAAATAAAACAGAAATACTATGACACATGTGTAACAGAAGTCAGTAGGTTGAATATTCATTACAAAAAATCTTAGAGTCAAGATAATAAATCAAAGAAAATTACAGTTTCAGCAGTACGCATTACTACTATTCCCCTATTAACAATAGTAATGCCTCGAAGCGAAGACTTTCCTACAGGAGTCAGCTGAATCCTCTTTACTTCTCCAGAGCAATTCATTAAAAATAATAAATGATAAGCACCGACACCAATCAACCACGTGTCATTAGGTAATGAAATGCATCCAATACATGGTAACGCGGGAACTGTGTGAGACCATATACATTGCATTGTGTTTGCATCGCGTACTTCGAAGCAGTCGGATTTCTTATTATTGGTGAGTGCAACACCAATACGATCATTATCCTCAGCAGAGCGAATGCACCTAATTTTTTGCTCCATAGAACAAGACTTTGGCGCATTCCACTTTTGTTTGAGAGTCCAATTACGTGTGCACCATTCTTGCAATGAACTACCGTTACCCTCAAAACTTATCCAAAGTGAATCACCTTTACAAGTACAACTGCGAAACGAGTTTTCTTTCCTCTGTTGGATTCCACTGACAAGCGTTGGTTTCTTGCGACTGGGGTTGATAGCGAATACTTGAGTTTCAGTGAGCAGTATAAATAGATTTTGTGACGAACACCAACATATATCCTTAATATCAGTTAACTCTTCGGTGGTGCTTTTGCCATTTGCCATTGGTATGATAGTAAAATAGTCACGCTGAGGTTCGACGATACACAAATCATCATTATTTCGCACAAAAATGACAAAGCGATCTGAGGCGGTAATAGCATTGCCTAATTTTTGATTTTCAAGACGCTTGAATGGTTCATTACCTTGCTCCAGTCGCTCAAAGCGAAGTTCGTCTAGAGTAATTGGTTGCATTTGCCCATACGGCACGTTCAGTTTAACCCTTTCTAATTCAATCAAACGATCCCACGAAGTAGCGGGTGCACAGTGGATACTGACGCGCACCGATGTATTTGATGCGTGTTCTATTCGATCGTTTTCTGCTCGAAGCTCAGCTATGATACGTTGCCAATTTTGTTCCACATAGCTTTTTGCTTCTTTTTGTGTACGTACATCTTTGATTGGCCCTATACATTCGATCAATTTGTCGTTGCGTTCATCCATCAGCTTTCGTAGGGATCGTAAAGCTTGTCGAGTTGAGTCATTCGCTGCTGATGTCATGTTATCACGGAAGGCGTAGATATGCTGGCGTAGTTCTATAGGATTAAAACGAAGAACTATATCGTGTTGATTACTTGTAGCATAGATAGCTTGAAAAACAGTGTCATTTACATCAGCATTGTAGTCAAGTGTTGCTAGTACTTGCTGCCGATGTTCCTTGTAGCATTTAAGACAAAAAAGCTCGTAGCATCCAGCACATATATGTGTGATTTCATTTGCTTCACGACAAGAGCATTTAAGACGCGGCATACGAACAGGTAATGCAAATGTTGTTGGTTTATGTTTAGCCGACATATCATCACCTGTAAATACAGTGAATCCGACATTCATCTTTTTAGCTGAAGTTTTAGCATAAAAAAGCTGTTGAGGCAATCTCAATTGGATCGAAAAACAGGTGTGCTACGGAATTTCTGAGACTTTTCCGTCATGTTTCTATCCTATATATCGTATCATACCGATAAGCAAATCCTTAAAAAGAGTTCCAAAAGTGTCGGTTTGTTCAAAAAAAAGGATAGATTTTTTTCAAATGTGTCTGATTTACATTGCAGCTAACTCATAGTGATGAAACTGCGCACGTTAGCGTAGATGTAGTGTCAGTTTGGGATGCTTTGGGCCATGAATATGAGTGCAAGTGATTGTAAATGCGCACCTGGGCTGTGGCAATGGCCTCTTATAATTCACACTCACACTACCAATTTTTTTCAAAAGCAAAGAGTTCGGATTATATATTCTACCTGAGTAATTCATAAAGCAGGGTAGCACTTCCGCATCTGAAACTGATGATATCAGTAGATAGGTCTCATCAAGCTGATTCAACGAACATTCACGAACACTCCTAACCATGGAACATAAGAACATTTAACCGGCGTATACTATTTTTTTTATCCTTGAACATTCAGAAATCCGCACCTACGCCCATATTTTTTGCTCATGGGTAAACCCACTGGAACTATATAGGGTGTGGGTATGAGTTTCTGAATGTCGATGTTGGTGAGTGTGCGAGTACGGATGTTCCCTGGATATGTTGCGTAGTTGCCGAAGAAGAAAGTCCAGATAACCGCAGCCACACGGCTACTCCGACGGATCCCTTCAGAGAAGCAGTTGAAGACATGTTTAATGAATTGGAACTTTTTTGATTAGTCTAGTCCTGTTGTTTTCTTCGCGTTATAATATTTTTATTTGATGAGGTCTACCCTACAGGGTGTGCGTGTGGGTGTGGGTGTGTGGGTGTGGGTGTGTGGGTGTGGGTGTGGGTGTGTGGGTGTGGGTGTGGGTGTGGGTGTTTGTGTGGGGTGTGGGTGTGGGGTGTGGGGTGTGGGTGTTGGGTGTGGGTGTGGGTGCGGGTGTGGGTGTTGGTGTGGGGTGTGGGTGTGGGGTGTGGGTGTGGATGTGTGTGGGTGTGGGTGTGGGGGGGGGGGGGGGGGGGGGGGGGGGGGGGGGTGGGGGGGGGGGGGGGTGGGGGGGTGGGTGCGGGTGTGGGTGTTGGTGAGGGTCTGGATCTGGGTGGATGTCGGTGTGAGCGTTATTTTCATCTACATACGTACACACCAACACCGACCGCTGAGTGCGGGTTTGGGTGTCGGTGTTGGTGTGTACGTATGTAGATGAAAATAACGCTCACACCGACATCCACCCAGATCCAGACCCTCACCAACACCCACACCCGCTTTCAATGGGAAAACGCAAGCACTGGTACTATTAGAATATACAAATCATTACGGAATCGGACGGAATTATATGGAATTTCACGCAGTTCCGTCTGATTCTGTCCAATTCTTACTTGAAGCGATTCCCGGAATCCCGTTTGGGAATTGCATGCATGCACTAGAAATGAGCTATATTGTTAATGCAACGTATAAATGATTCCGGAATATAACAGAATTACATGGAATTGCACGCAATCCCGTCCAATTTCTCTTTGAAGCGATTCCCGGAATTCCGTTTGGGAATTGCATACATACACTAGAAGTGGGGTTTGGTATTAACGTAATGCATAGATGATTCTCGAATAGAACGGAATTACATGGAATTGCATGCAATTCCGTCTAATACCGTCGAATTCCTCTTGGAAGCGATTTCCGGAATTTCGTTTGGGAATTGCATGCATACACTAGAAATGAGCTATGCTGTTAATGCAACGTATAAATGATTCCGAAATATGTCAGAATTACATGGAATTGCTCGCAATTCCGTCGAATTGCTCCTTGAAGCGATTCCCGGATTTCCTTTTGGGAATTGCTTGCATACACTAGAAATGAACTGTACTTTTAATGCGAGCCGTCATCCTATTCCCAAAAGTCACACATTTCTGCATCTCCTTCTGACCCGGAATCCCTTAGCATCAATTCCGGAAATGCTAACACGACCCTTTCCCTCAAATACATGCCACAACCAGGAATTCCTGACTATTACTTCCTTTTCCATCCAACTCTGAACATTCAATTTCGGGTCATTCCGGGTATTTACACAATTCGAAGGACATAATGAATAATGAAATGATCACCTTAAAAGATCGATTCCATATAAAAGCGGAATTCCGGAATTTCTGCATATCCGGAATCATTAGGAACTACAGGTATTCCTGGTCATTGCTGCCTATTCCGGAATTACAAATATCTCATGGATGGCTAAATGATCTTTTTTCGAGCTTGAATAAATGCAAAGCGGAATTCGGGAATTTCTGCACATCCGAAATCACTAGGAAATGCAGGAATTCCTGCTCATTCCTGCCTATTCCGG